TCGTTAGAGCCATCGAACAGGGGGTCATTGAATTGGGTCATCATGTTGTGCAGCACCATGCATGCCATGACATGTGTGACTGTTGTCGATAATCGTTTCTCACTCATTGGCCCCTTAAGCACACGAAAGCGCTCCATAAGGCGTCCAAATGCGCACTCAACCGCCATTCGAGAGCTGGAGAGTACATAGTTGAAGTTTGCCTGTCGTTGGTTTAGTGCCCCCGATCTCTCTTCATGAGGCAGGTACGGAACAAGCAGCCACTGAAACAAAGTATAGCCAGAGTCGCCAATGAGATAGCAACCTTTCGGTGCCCTCGTGCGAAATGTGCTACCAATTTCAGATAGTTTCCACATCTTTTTGTCTGAAAAGGCCCCGGTCTCATATCAACACTCATGAATGACCCCCTGCTGTCGACAATAAATTGTACGTTCAATGACGGGTCGCCGTGACGATTGAATAACCCTCGAGCTGATGGGGACGCAAGATCTCAATCAATGTCCCATCAATTGCTCCTACCACTCCAGCCATTCTACTTGAGCTGGAGAACCCATTGACAACTTGACGCCATTCCAGTGATGAGCGGGGAAGATGTATCCACTTAGACGCCATCGAGCTTACGGACGCCGAAAAGCAACTCACGATGTTTTGACACCACGACTTGGACGTGCCACACACTCCACCAACCTCTCGGTATCCACAAGTGGATCCCATGAAGTATAGATACACCGCAAACTTCTTTTCAAACGAATGTGCTTTAGTGTAGAGATCCAGATTGTAGTCATGCATGTGAGCTCGAAGAATCTTGCAAATGTTAAGGTTTGTTGATTGCAACGCAAATTGTTGAGGAACCACTGGTCGTACTTGTCGAAGTGAAGCATGCGTTGAAAATCTACCTCGCTAACTGTTAAAACATTGCACTTGTCTGCACTTGGTATCCGAGAAATGGTTGCAACACACACTCCAACAGCAGCAACAGCAGCGGCAAGAACAGTCAGTCATTAAAGCAATCGAGTCTTCCTGTGCTGTGGCGTTGCCATCACCGCACGTGCGAGCTCCAGCATCACACGGGCTAGGGCCAGTATCGCTCGGGCCAGCACCAGCATCACACGATGTGTTACCAAACGACTTCATGGCGTGCAGAGTTAAATGTCGAAATGAGTTCAGTGTTCCCTCCACACGATTACTGGCACGTGGTGTCTCACCGGATAAAAAGGCCGGATAATGTCGTGTTCAGTGTTGGGATTTCATTCAGTGATTTTCCACGAACACGGCCTAACGCTATTCAGCACAGTCACTGGGCTGTTTTGGTTATTTGCCACCTGCTCGTCCTACTGCAGTATTGAGGTACCCCGAATCCTAAATAGCCCCTATTGCATTGTGTACTGTAAATTGGAGACACATCGATGACGGTCGCGATTGTCCAGTGGATTCGTAATTTTTTGGATTCCTAGGCGGATGGTCTAACCAATCAAAACGACTTTGGCCGCAAGAGTAGCCAATCAATCATTTTGTATTTGGAAAGTCGTTTCTTCAACACTGCGATATAACATAAAGTGTACTACAATTTAGCTAGTATCGTGCAATTTATGAGGAATGTTAGCCAATTACATTGCAGCAAAAAAGCAGCAAGACCCGTGTTTTAAAATACGATTGAATGTCACTTTTTCAATGGGTATGGCACCTCGCCCAAGTGGCAGATACACGAGAGACAAGCTCTAGTCGGTAGTCCAAAAAGTCGTGGATGGAGCTCAAGGAGTTGAGGTTTCGCATCTTGCAGGGTGCATTAGTGGCGGTCACACTCTCAACCCCTTTAGATATTGCACTACGTTACAGTAATTCGTTAGAGCACATTCAGAGGAGTAGACTTCTAATGTTAATAACCTTTTCATACGCATATTTTACTTTTGAAATTTAAACATACACTAAACTCACAAAACATATGCAGCGCTTAAGACTTTGTTTAAGTTAATCAATGTCTTTCTACATTAGAACACAGATATTCAACCTGATTTGCATGAAAAATCATATATTCGGGAGAGTCAATTTGGAAATCTGGTCCGATTTTCGTTCGCAAGGTCGATTCTCGAATTCACGGAAAGCAAAAGTACTTCGCGAGGTACTTTTGGTTTTTCAAAAGCAAAAGAAAGTTGAACTTGGTCACTGAACATCCAATCACATTACTCGAAACTACTGGCACACAAACTACTGCCCACTTGTGCGTTGGAACGATGGAGCTCGAGAGCGACGACCGTGCGAAGCGAGGCACGTCGCGCGCCGAGCGCCTTGCCATGCTCGAGTTCTTGCGCATTCCGGACAACTTTGCGTTGATGACTGGCCAGGCCTCCAAAGGAAAGTCGATGAAAGGCGGGCAGAGGATCACAAAGGCCCACGGCCACGCCCAAATGGCCGATTATGTGAACATGGTCGTTCGTGATAGCACGCGAACGTGGACGACGAAGGACGCAAAGTTCCGGTAATTGAATACATGAACGTCCTCATCAACACACATTCATTTTAATACGATGCGTACGTCTCGTCAGATAAAAAGCGCTTCGTTGGTGCGTCCGAACAACAGCGGGCGAGATCTCACTCAAAAGGACTACAAACGAAGTAAAACATAAATTGAAGATGAATCTCATGAATTCTGTAGAAATCTTCACGATTGAAAGCAAGTTGGAGAGTATTTGTCCGTACTACAACGACATGAATGCGCTTTTTGGCGAACGCCAGAACTTTCGATCATCCTTTGTGTTAGAAACGAACAATGACATCGGTAAATCTTGTGAATGCTTTGCCATTAATACTCATCGCTAAAACACGATTTCATGTAGTCGATGAGTCGGGTGATTGTGACGAATCCTTCATGTACGATAACAAGACAAACGGCAATGCCGGGGTTGCTGAGGACAGCGAACCAACAATAGAGCACGACCCCGACGTCCCGACAACGACGAGTACTGGGCATACAACGACGCCCATGACCCTGGCCGCCTTGCAGCACAAACGACGAGCCCGATGGCTGACATCAACGTGCACGGACCCGACGGCTCTAACGATGCGCCTGGCAAAGGGCCTGGGACCACCAGCGACCATGCCCCGCCCGCCAAAAAGGTCATTGTCGCACGTATTCAACGCAACGCCCACAGCGCGGCTTCCTCGCTGCCTTCTCGTCACTTCCCCGCAACGGAAAAGCGACTCACACCACGAAAGGACTTCTCGTCAATCTACATGGACGTGCAAAGTCAGGTGTGTTCCCTCGAACGC